GGGGGGCGGCAGGCGGGGGGCCCCGGCTGGTGCAGCGGCCGTGCCCACAGCCCCGGCGCGGGCCCGGCTCGCCTTCAGTCCCCACTTGGTAAGGCTCGAGACCGCTCGGGTCCACCAACCAGTCAGCAAGTGTCGGAGATACATGTGCATTCACCGTCTGCCACCATGAGGATAAGGATTACCTTCGCAGCCATCTGTGTGAGTGGAGTGTGGACCAGTATGGAGTTGGATTTAATAGATAAATTAAATTCTGAAAAGGTTGACGTTGAGCTGCAAACGTGATAATAGGCCCCATTATATACATTGCCATTACAATAATAGTCTGTATTGAAGTTGAATCTCAAGTGACAGTCAATTATTTAAATCTATTGCACAATTCTATAGTAAATTCAATAAGTTAAGTCAATCTACTGACTTTTAATATTGCCTTCATTTGGATGGCTGCCGTTCGCAATAAAAGAATAAAATGAAAAAAGTAACCATTAACCGAAAAAGTGCATAGAAGAGCGTCATGGAAATTTTCTTACCCGTCACCGGCACTAATTTTATATCGATCACGCTGACTAATGACAATGAGCAAACACAGCCGGGCAAGACCGGTCAGCACTCACGTCCGAGGGACAGTCCGTGACAAAGCTAGACCTCTCGCTGTCATCGCCGGTCCGCGCGCACGTGGGTATACCACGGACTGTCCTACACGCAAATAAAAGAAGTTATCAGAGCTATCAAATCAGCCGATTCTATTCTGTGATAGCTAATCACATAGGCCTCTAGCAGGTGAAAATTTAGCTATAGGTGCCGATTATTGTAGCTCTTGTTGCCAATTTTTCGCCGAGGCAGCTATCTGCTATTGGCTCGCATGGATTAATTTCCGACGGCCTGGCTCCAGTTCAGTTGAACAAGCCGTCGTAATAACCCTTTTTGAAGTTGAAGTTGAAGAAGGCCAATATGTGGTTAGCTATCACGTTTTCAGGTAATCCGTTGGCTCTGACAGCAAATCTTTTTGTCGCGTGAAGACAGAGGCCGGGCGTGTTTTTCTCCCCATATTTTCCGGTCACCACACGAACGAGAAGACAGACGTCAGGCTCCCCCAACCGTGAAATGACTGTCAAAACAACGTCGATACGATATAGATGTTGCTTATTTTGCGACATTGTTTTGTTATCGGTCTGAGAGTCTCTTTGTCCTGGAACCGACCCGCGTTCGTGTATGAGTCACCGGAAACCCAAACTTGAAATTTCGTGTTCGTGTATTTATTTGGCCATTGCCCGGGTGCGGGTGCGGCCATGGACCCGGCGCGGGGGACGGCGGTGGGGTCGGCTTCATTCAGTTTGTCACCACGGCGCCCCGGGGCGGGAACACGTCACACGTTTCAAACACTCACAAACACGCCGGCTTAGCTCGTGACTCACGGAAGCTCACGCGACTGCTCGTGTGCTCTGAAAGTCACGATGAGTACACTGAGAAAAATATTTCTTTCCGAGCACCAAACGTTTCGTCTATTGCTTCCAATTTTTGTCCCAGCTTAAAATGAGCTACTTGCTCTTCCATTAGTGTACTAAATTTTCCTGGTTTGGGATGCTGCGTATAGTGCAACGAAAACGCTTCGATCGAGATGCTAAAACGAATAGTGCTCAGACAGATTTGTTTTTCTCAGTGTACCGATCAAAAGGAAATCATTCGTTAAAAAAAATAAATGTTTCACTGCCATGAATGAATAGGCGTTCGTGGACACTTGAGCGTGCCATGTGTCATGTGTGAACTGTTGCTCTTTGCAGGGGACTCGCCCCGTCCTCGTGTGGTCTAGGTGCGAGGCCATTCCGTGTTGGTTGAAGACGTACAGATAAAAAAAACTCGCAAATATGGATGTGTTTCTGCCTGCGACTACATCTCTTGTGTGCTGATGATAAAAACAATGGGCCTGACGCCGTGCGTGACGTGTGCTCTGTCAGTCAGGCAACTTAATACATGACAATATTTCAGTTGTTTTTTTATCACAAGGTACTTTAAAATGATAAGTTAATTGTTGCTGATTTCTCCATTGAATTTTGTAATCGGAGATAAAATAATTTATAATTTCTTACTATGTCAAAA